TCTTCCTCAGTATGATTTGATTCAAAGATTTTACTTTTGAATTTCAATTCCTCAAACATATTCTCATTAAGTAAAAAAAAAAATACTTTGAGTTTAAGACTCAATATTAATTCAGAGTCTTGAGCTGTAAACCATTTCCCTCTTTTAATCATAGTGTCTGCGAATTAGAATAGTAAAAAATTGTCTGTTCCGTAACTACCTTCAGCCAAACTAGGGTACAAGCTTTGCCAATACACTAAATAAAAATCACACCATGGTTTGGCAGCAAGTTAAAAAAAAACTTTCTTTATAGTGAAAACAGGTCAAAAATATTCTTGAGAAAATCCCCATCCACATCCAACTACTGCTTAGCTAAGCTACTGCTTAGGTGTCATTATAACGTACACAATATACCGGGTCACGTGAAAATTGGAAAAATTTACTTGAAAATCGTAATGTAAATTTAAGGCATCGCGTAAATCTTTCGGTAACTTGATGGGAAAATCTTCCGATGACCTATTACAAAACTGATGTGAAAGGACTTAAAATAGATGTTTGGTACATAACATTTGGCTCAGGACCACAATAAAAATCAATTACAGATGTTTCTATTTTCCAAAGGTTACTTTAAAATAATTATAGTTTGAAAATATAATGAGACAAATGGTACAGCACAGTCCTGCAAGGTTGAATGTTTAGTTTGTTGATGGTTAGAACAGAGTTGGTCTACAATACAACGTTATCTCGATCGGTGTTTAAACCGATACCTTTGAAAACTACAAGTGGACAAACTCTCAAAAAGGATTCAGCGAGCACTTTGAAACTCGATAAGTCTGCGTTCATTTGTCTGAAAGCAGACTAAAGAACTCACCAATCCTAAAGTGTATTGGATAGTTGAATTACTGTAATTATTTGTGTAATTAGTGGCTTCAAAGGTATTTTTTTTCACACTTAAAAATTACTTTAACATGTATTTTACTAACCGGTTTCACGCTGGTGTATCTTTTTTCATTAAATAAAGTTAATTTTGTTTGAGTAACATTGGCAAAATGAAAATAAATTTAGAAACGAGGAAAAAACCCAGAAAGTTTCTTAACACTCTGGTAATTTTTTTGTTTTTGGTAAGATGATATCTCTAAAACGTCCAAGTGAAATATATCAATTCACCAGCAGCAACGTGTGTGAAAGATATTCTATACGTCAGCGTTATTGATAACGTTACAAAAAAGTATAACATACGGGAAAGTTTTTTATCCATCATTCAATGTTGAATATGTCAATTACTTTTATTATTTCTATTTTCGATCATTTATTTTCGGCATTGCAATTTTTATCTCCAAACGAGAATATCGAAACACATTTGATACATTATTCCATCCTTAGTTTGTTAAAGAGGGTTTTAAGGTAAAAATAAACACCGAATTTTGAATTCCTGATATGAAATCATCGACGGAACAAAATAATATTGAGTGAATTTATTGAATATTTCCCTACTTCGGGTTTGAAATTGTCGGATTCAGTTGAGACGTACCAGTAACCATAAAATAGATCATATATCTCTTTAGTAGCTTGCAAAATGAATTGTAATGTATAACAATGACATGAAAAACATGCCAAAATGCTTTGTATAACCTCGCTGGAGTTAAACTCTTCATCTTTAACGAATTTTAAACACTTCAGTTATGACTTTTGATTGTTGACAGACTTGATATTATCTTGAAACTTTCGTCATATTTCTCCCCAACTTTACGCGACGTGCATTGTGATAGCTTGAGAATGTCGAGTAATAGCATTCTTTCTCATCTTCCCTCTTCTCTTGTAGGTATCGTGCAGTTATAGTGGTAATTCTTAAATAAATCCTCCTGTTAGTACTTCTATTTTGAAACATCATTCATTAAAACATGGTTAGATTTTAATATGTATTCTAATCGTACATTTGAAGTGGGTAATGCATTTATGATTTTATCTTTCATCTAAATTCTGTTCATTTTAATGTCGCATTTTTGTTGATGATAAAATACCAATGCAGTGAAGATTGCGAACAAATACTACGATTGACTTTTGAATTCCTTTTGAATATATGAAGAAAATATATCTGGTCACTGGATCACTGGAATGTAGATATCATCATTATACTATTCAAAACTCTAACTTTCCATAGCATACCAACATTAAAACAAATCACAGCATCCAACATTCTTTCTTTTAAGGTTTTAAGTGTGACGAAGTTTGTTTTCGCAAGGCAAGACCAGATTAAGTGATTAAATGCATTTACCTTACAAGAATAGTAAGAGCGTACAAATTGTTCCTCCCATGAAGCCAACTGTTCAAGTTTAGATTACCAAGACTTTGGTACACTGGTTTTGTAATGTCCATCACAGGTTCTGGCAAAGAATGGTCTTGGAGAGGACAAGGTAGGCCTCCTGCCGCCGCTCGTTTGTATTTACACCATGACAACTTCGATTCCGTGTGTGACATACCATGAGCTCTTCAGCATCAGTTGACCTATAGTGAAAGTATGTGACCCAAACTGCCACAACCATTTAAGATAGTCTTACTTGCTCTACCCATAATACTGTTGTGTCCTGTCAGTAACATCATCAGTCGACCACGGCCAGAAAGGTTTTTCCCATCGCTAAGCTTAACTTTCTTATAGTTTTTTTTCGCAAATTCCTATGCCGGGAACTCATTCGCTTCTGAATATGTCCAACACGTTCAAGCTTTGTTATGCTATCGTTATTCCCATATGGTTTAGATTCTACAACCCAGTCATAGGCCTTACTATCCACATCACCTAAAAATTTGTGTACCTACTGAGGTATGAGATTTTGCTCGGACCTTTCAAATAGTTTTAAGACTCCTGCAGCCTCTATTCCCCCACTTGAGCCTTGATAGTTTGTTGAAGACTGCTATGTTAATGGATTTGTGATTGTGGATAGTGACAACACCGTTGAGAGATGTATGGACTTGCTTTTGCAGAGTAGATTTTGACACTTTGTCTTGACTACTGATTTTCTTCCAATATCTTCTAATACTATTCTTCAAACCATTCAAACTAATCACAGAACTATATAACGTTATTCACTAATGGATTATCGAGTGTTGTCTTATTGAAACCATACATCATTTGTAAAACTATATGTTGACAATGCCTTTTTTTAACAGTGTCTATGATACAAACGTATACTAAACGTATAATACAAACGTAAATAATCCAAACGGATTATTCGTTTCATCAGAACATATCGTAGGAAGGAAATAATTAAGCTTGATTGTGCATTTGTTTGTCCTCCAGTCCGTTACCTAGTTGTTTAAGACAAAATGTAAAAAGAAAAGCAACGATTTAATGACAACCCTTGGATTTAAAAAGTTACTTTAGTTTATTTAAGACAATATCTTCACTATGGGAGAATATGGGAGACTGGAGAAAAATGCGTTGGAGGTTATTCGACCGCTAAATGGTATAAAAATAGGAATTGGAACCTATCAGAATCTGAGAGGGTGGGAAATGAAAATGCACCACTCAAAAGTAGTTTTCTTCCAAAGCACCCTTGAAAAGGACAACGATACATTATTAATGTGGTTTCAATAGGAATTTTCCATAGAAAATATGGGAATCCGAAAATGAAGCTAAAACATGGAAGTGGGCTTTCAGTTCTTGGTGAAATAATCGTAACTCTTAGATTGCCTGTACATTGGAATATGACGCTTTTAAGCGACGTTCTTAACAGTAGCCGTATCATTCAGATGGAACAAACACAATCCGTGTAGAATTTTGCAAGATTTCTTTTACAAACAAAAAGCACCCGAAGACTACAATACTAATTTTTTATAACAGATGAATATTTTTTTAATTCTCCCAAAATTCCAATTTTAAAAAATCACAACGTTTAGTATAAAAATATTTGTAATACCTCTATGTAGAACTTTAGAAGAAAAAGTGACAAAAGAAACAGTAACGGCACTCTGATGCAATATTTCTACCACAACTTCACAAAAAGACTGGTTCATTTGTTGACACAAGACTACAGGAGTGTCTGTGAGTGCGATCAGTCACGTGGGGGTGAGGAAAGGGTCTTTATTATCCAACATTCCCTTCACCGTCTCGTAATAAATGTGCGCACACTGGAAATATATCTTGGGGTGGAAATAGAATCTAGCATTTCAAACTGTGTGAGTATCAAACTCACATCAAAACATCAAGTATTTGTTTTGTACTGTAAGATTACGAATGTAGTATGAATAGCGGAGTGCTAGAAAGAGGAGGGTTTAAGTATGTTGTACAAGAGTCATATGCTGATAAGCTAATACAAAACCTCTTCAAATGGCAGAAAAGGTCTTATTAAGTTACCTTTCGTCTATCGGTTTGGATTTATAAACGAGCTAGAATTTTTTTTTATTCTCAAAGATTAGTCAATTCATCAGCCAACGCCTTTAATTAATTGTCGGATTTAAATGGAAATATTATTAATACTTTCCTAACAGTTGATGCATAGGACTGGCTAATCAACTTTTAAAATTCTTGTTCAACTTACTTCTACTTGAACCGTTCTGTACTAAACCATTCTCATACAGGGTAATTGGTAGTATGTGTGACTAAAATGTTTTGTTTCAAGTACCAAATAAATTAAGTATGATGATGCATGTAAGAGGTTCCAAGTCTAATAATTTGCTTTCCAAAGAATTATTGTAAGTTAAACCTTTCTGCTTCTAAAACTCCGTTACAATCGGACTAATTTTACAGTACAAAACCATTCTCATACAGGGTGATAGGTAGTATGTGTGACAAAAATGTTTTGTTGCAAGTACCAAATAAATTAAGTATGATGATGCATGTAAGAGGTTCCAAGTCTAAAAATTTGCTTTCCAAAGAATTATTGTAAGTTTAAAAAAAATAACACTATTTTTAAACTTAATACAAAATCTTATTACCTGTTAATGTATTTGAGTAGATGATGTCATTTTCATGTTCTACGTAAATATAATTGAACGGTTTCTTTACAACTCGATCATTGTTGCAGGTCTGATAGTCGCTCAGTCAGAAGAGTGGTCGGGCGCGACTTCAGGCTATCACGTGCTCGTCAGTGGCTTGCTGCTGAGTAGCATGGCACTCGTGCTGCTAGCAGCTGTCAGCTACCAGTGTGCTGCTACCTGGAAGTGGCTCCGGACGTTAGGCATGAGCGAGGACGAGGCGCAGGACGGAACTCCGGACGGCGTCAAGCAGAGTTCAATCCGGATCAGTCACTCCCTTCCTGACCTGCAGCAGGAGCCTACCCGCCATGAGTATGTTCAGGAGAAGGACAATAAAAAGGTACGTTTATTTTATGTTGGAGTTGTAGTAACCAAATAGGTGAAGTCTTAATGTCCTGTTTCTAGAATTTTCTTTAGCGGATTATGTTCGAAACTTCGTTCGAGAAGTGTCTGGAGAATTGATTTGTAGAATTACGTTTTCCAACAAATCGTCCCACACTCGGATGAGTGTCTATGATGATTGCTGTCACCCACTTCAATGGGCTTTGAGTACGACAACTTGTCCAGGTTGAAGACTCTAGTTGCCATTTGCTGCCCACTTGTTGCGATGTTGGAGGAGCGACAGGTATTAAAGGACCAGCGCCGCCAAAAGTGCTGAAGGGTCTGCTGCATCCGTTGCCACTGTGATAGTCGGTTGACCTTTAGGTAACTGAGGTCTGGTTCTGGTAGTGCAGTGAGTGCCTCCCTAAAATAGTAAGGAATTGGCCAGGGTTATAAGGTAAAGGTGTAAGGGGGCGTGAGTTAAGGCAAGCTTCTACCATTGTTAGTACCGTGTATAGCTGTTCGTAGGTTAAATTAGCATGCCTTACAACTCTTTTCAGGTGATGTTTTACATATTTGACACCTGATTCCCATAATCCTACAAAGTGGGGCGAGTTGGGTGGTATGAAGTGTCAATTGATGTTGGGGATAGAAATTTAATTTTTTATTTTGTCCTGGTGAGATTAATCTTTGAGTTATCTACGTAGTTCTTTAATTTCTCTGTAGCCTCCAACAATGTCGGTTCTATTGTCTGAATAAATGTCCTTGCAAATTCCTTTTCTTGAAATGAATCCCTGAAAGGCAGCTAAGAAAGCCTCTGTTGTGAGGTCTGATAAGAACTCCAAGTATATTGCTTTCGTTGTGAAACAAACGAAAACTGCAATATATGATTGGATTTTCGTAAATTACTAGATTTTATAAAGATGGGACTGCAGTAGTCGACTCCTGTTCTTAAAAACGGTCCTGTTGGATTTAGTCTGCTGGCGGGAATGTGCCTATTTAGGGCAGAACACTTTTAAGATTAGCCCTGAAGCAGGCTGTGCATTCACATACTATTTTTCTGATCGAGTTTCTGCCTCCAATAGGCCAAAACCGTTGCCGAATGGTAGCAAGCAATAGTTGCGGATTAGAATGTAATGTCCTTTGATGTTCATGTCTGATGATTAACTCTCTAAGGTGAGACTTTGCAGGCTTGTTTTGGAATAGTTTTTGAACCAGCGTAAGTTCGTTTTTAATCTTTTATTTGCGAGAATAATATATTAGTTAATTATGGTTAGTAACCTTTAGAAAAGGATTTCGCAATCTTTGAACCATCAGACAATCCCTTTCATCAATGTTAAATCTATTTCAAAATCTCTGATTCCCTTAAACAATTGTCTCGTGCAAATCTGTACATCGAATCATGTTTGAAATGAGTTAGTTCATTTTGATCGGTCCATAAGTTATGACGGTAAATGAAATATCGTTAAAACGGAGTATCATAAAGTTACTAAGCTTAATTTAATTTCCCAGTGTTGGCTCAGCGCTGCTGAGCATTTATGAATATATAACAGGCATTCGGACGACTCTGATGAGTTTCTATGACTGCTTTATTTACTCTTCGTTTTGGACTGTTTTGCATGTAAATTACAGTGATATTAAATACCACATTTTATGAAGAGTGTTTGTGATCACGGTTTTGCTAATATTTGAGGTATGGAATAGTTTATTATTTTGAATAACCAGTTAGTTTTACGATTTTACTGTATTTTTAAACTATATTTATAATATTACAGAATCCCTTTTTTAAGTCCCGGTTTTTAATTAGCCATGTCACTAACTTTTTTTACTTAACAAAGAAAATATTTAAATCCATGTGAAAATTTTATTACAGTACTAATGAGATTGCGTTTTACTAATTATTTAAGTAGTTTTGGGAAGTCTAGTTACTTGTTCGTATATGAATCCGACGATGGCGCTCGTGCCGAAATGTACATAATCCTGTAATCCACTAGGACAATACTTTGGACCACAAGGTAACAATCAGGTATTTTAACATTTTATTTATTTGTCAATCTATTGGTCCGGAAACACCAAAACAAACAATTAAGTTTCCACACACGCCTGCGGCTCGCGTAAACATTTTTCTCATGTGCAGTAAAGTGCCATTTTGCACACTAGTGTCACAAATGACTATTGTCTTTTGTGCTATAATCTAAGACTCGTTGTTTTCCAGGTTTTGCGGCAGACAACCCTCCCTTCAGTTCCCACAAGACACCAGACATTCCAACGTCAGCTGTCTCATCGTCTGGACTTTGAGAACGTCCAGTTCAGTGTGTGCAAACTAGAGCCTAGGAAAGACTTCAATGTCAGTCTCTTTAAGGTATGAACACAAATATTGCAGTAGATCCAAGTCAGTTCTTTTAACCTGAACCTCTAGACTTCAATCAACCTTGAACCAACGATTGAATGATTGAATCAACGAGTTAGATTGAAGTAATTTATGCTGTTCAACGTTTCGTGATTTTAAAATTCATAATCTTAGAGAGAGGAAAACAAATCACTCGATATTATTTTCCTGTTTCGATTACAATTTTAGCTCAACATTGTCGGGTTGTTATAAATTAGTTGTAAAATATGAGGTTTGATATGCATATTAATACCATTATAGTAATTTGTAACAATAAAATTAAATTTAAGAATTGATAATCCAAAGGTTCTGACAATTTTTAAAAATTCAATACAAGTGCTGTCAACTTAATTCTTTTCCATAAATCGATTGAAAATATTTACTTACATCAAACTGATTATCAAAACTTACAAATCTTATCATCAAACTAACAGTATTTAAAACTTTTAAGAACTATTAAGAAGGTAATAAGAACTATTAAGAACTATTAATAACTATATTAATAACTATTAAGAAGGTATTAAGAAGGAACTATTAAGAAGGTAACAAATTCCGTTATTACCTTGTTTTTTCATAAACTTTTTTAGTATGGATAGTTTTCAAAAGGATTTAGTGTTACCCCATAGGGGTAATTAGTACTCTGTGTTGAGTGATTGAAAACATGAGGCAGAATACAGAATTTAAAGACATCTTGATACTAAATCCCTTTTTGTTATTACCACGTTTACTTGAGTAAAATACAAGAAAACCTATAATAAAAATGAAATTTTAATCGGGGAAAATATTAAATGATTAAAAAAAGTTATTTTAATGGACCATTCTTAAATGTTTTCCTATTTTGTGGTATATCCAACACATTTGGTTTAATCAAACTTCTACTATATGAAAGAAAATTGTTGACGTCTAATTAACTATTAACTATTCACTAACTGGCAGTTACAGTATTATAAATTGAAAAAATGTTTATAAAGAGACAAATGTTTAGTTTCTTAAAAATTGTGTGTGAAAAAGCCTCTCGCCATGGTGACAGTGGTATTTCAATATATCATTGGTTGCTTGTCGCGACGAGTATTAGGCTATTGATATTTTATATTTGTCAGAAACGTCAGAAAATCCCGGAAATTGAATGTGCCACCATCTTTATTGAGTCACTCGTATTAAATTGAAACAGTTCTTTTCCTTAGAGAGATGATGCTAACAAATAACATTCGTATTCAATTAGGACCGCCCCTATGGATATTGCTTAGTGCTCAAGAATTTTGGTGGGTTTGCTAAGGTTTCTTTTTTTAAATTCACTGTGCAAATAGTTGTACAGGGTTCACACTATTTTGTTAGAATTTATTTCCCTGACTTAACCTGATCAAAAGTAAAAGTTTTTCCTTACTACCCGCAATGTACTCACCAATTTAGGCATTTGAGCAAAAGAATTTACATTTATTTGAATAAAATTAATCTTATCAGCATCCACCATTCCCATAGCCGTCCATCGCTCTCCTTTTTATTTTTTAAATATACAAATCCAAACAGTTTTTGTTTTTAAAACATAATCTTATACTGCGAAAATTTAATTGAGTTGTATTAATTTAATTTAATTAAAATTAAGCTAATTTATTCTGACAGACGACGAGACTCATAGGTTATTAGGTTAAAAAGGGAGAATTAACCAATTAATAATTTTTAGGAGAGGGGGTTTAAAGTTTCAAACTTGTAGGAAAATTTTAAAATGCAATTTTAAATTGCTGAAACCTTGAAATAATGCTAACCACACCTTTTCCCAAGTCTGTTGAAACCTTTATCTTTATGAGTATTTTATTTTTTTATAAATATTAAATGTTATATGGCATAATTGAGCCTTTTTCACGCACTGTATGGTAAAAAAATCAAGTTGGATATTTGCCTTATTTATAATGTAACATTTATACACAAATATATTTATAGGTTATTATTAGCATAATTAGGCAGTTGAAAGAAAAAAAACAGTGATATCCTTTGGTAGCTTTTCAACAAATTACTGATGGGATAAAGGAATTACTCTGGCTTCGCAGAGGTCCATCAAAACCTTGTGTTTTGCCTTGTTACTGATACCGATGTAGGTTTCTGCAAGCTTTTAAAGGAGGTGTTCAGTAGCCTCAAAGCACTGTTCATGATTTTAATTTCATTTAAATATTAAGTTTTTCTGTTTCTTCTCCTTCAGATTAGCACTCTTGATATCCTTTGGTAGCTTTTCAACAAAGTCATGATGGGATAAAGGAATTACTCTGGCGTCGCAGAGGTCCATCAAAACCTTGTGTTTTGCCTTGTTACTGATACCGATGTAGGTTTCTGCAAGCTTTTAAGGGATGTGTTCAGTAGCCTGAAAGCACTGTTCGTTATTTTAATCTCATTGAAAATATTTGTCATTGTAATTATACTTGAAGGGTGTTGCATTCGGTTTATTTTCATGTACCCAAACCATTTTACTATTCTCCACTCAAAAACCTCGCCACTAACAGTAATGTATCTTTGAGCGTCTTTGTTGTAACTTGCCAATGAAGTCCAGTCAATAAAATATTCATTGTTCAACTAAACAACTTTGTAAGGTTCTGGCGTTTTTCTAGCAGTTTGGGAGACTATTCATTTCTCTGAAGACGCCTGTATGTGATGATCATGAGTAGACCTGTATATGTTTGCCGCTCTCTCATTGGTTGAGTACATAGCATCCTTTTGTTGGGAATGCCCAGGTTCATAACGGTCAATGAGTTCGCATCTAGTAAGTCGCACAGCATGTGAAAGTGCAGTGGGAAAATATTGATTGAGATTTTGACCACCACAGCTATCACTCATAAAAAAATTTTCTTGTGTTTCAGTTCTTTTTGTACGTTGTACGATCGTTTACTTTTTTAGTTCATGAGCTTTTTCTTTATTTTGGAGATGTCTCTCGAATTCTTCTTTCTCACTTTCTTTTTCCTCTGTAGTTAGCGATTTAAAACGGTTCCAAGTGCTGCATCGATATTTTTGGTGTTAATGAAACGTAAGGTTTTGGTAGGAGGAAAGTACATTTTATATTGTGATTTGTTTGTTTTGTTAATTTTCTTGAATTAGATTTTGATTTACCGAAACCCAAATTTTAACTAATAAATTATCCGTGTGAAAATATTAAGCCAAAATGAATTACCTTCCAAAATTTCTTATTTTTTGTTTCACATCATTAAGTCTTGAATTAAAGTCAATCTTGAAGAACTTGTATTTTTCAAACATTGTAAAATGTAATTTAAAAGTGGTATTTACTTCACTGAAAAGAATGCTGTGTTAAGCTTGCTCAGCTACTACGTCGGAGATTCTGTTAGCTGCACGGAATGGTTTTATTAGTATGTTAGCTCCAAGTTTTCCTTATTCTCCATCGTTAAAAGATTACATTTCGCTTTAATGATGTCAAGCTTGACTATTTTTTATAATAGTCTTACACTAATTAATGATTTTGACACTTTAGTTTGGACTTTTGCAAAGTATAATCATTAGCTATGATTTCTTAGAAAAACTTTTTAGTCCGAAAACCATTATCAACATTTTTCCAATCACGCAAGTTGGCTTTATCTTTTAGGAATGGATAGAGTGCTGATGTCGTACTTGGTATTTAATTATTCTTAACAAATATTAGTTGCAATAATTGTCACAATTGAAAATAAATAAGTTGGTCAGAAGATTGAGACTTTCTTAAAAATGGTTAACACTTTATAGAAATAGTTTTGAAAAAGTTTGTTCGTAGATTAAAAATCTAGTTTACATTAATTTGGTGAAATTTACTTTATTTGGCCTGAAACGGGCTGAATCACATCTCAAAGGTTTAGTAATTAATATTTTACTTGAATCAATACATAACTTAATATTGACTTCCTGAGCGACATGGCCGGTTAGAATTTTCACTTTAATACTCAAACTAGGTGAAGAGGAGAGTTGTACCCCCGTGGCCAGCATGAGAAGGGGGAGGCTTATTGGTTGAAACTAGTTCAGTTATCCTGTTACTCAGTTTAATCGGTCATAGCGTCATTGTCATGCTGACACTTGTACAAATTGCACACGTTCAGCAGGGCTATCTAAAAAAATGTTATAGTGCTACTCTTGCGTTTGACTGTTGTGCAAATGCACGATACAAGGTAAATACTCTTAGCCTTCAGGTCTTCTCCACCCACGTTCAATGTCTTCACCTACGTTCAATGTCTTCACCTTAGCCTGCTGCTTGTTGACTTTTTCTTGTTCAATCTCGTGTTTATTTAAATGTTCAGATGACAGGCTCCACCCACGTTCAATGTCTTCACCTTAGCCTGCTGCTTGTTGGCTTTTTCTTGCTCCACGTTGTGTTTATTGAGATGTTGAGATGACAGGCTCCACCCACGTTCAAATGTCTTCACCTTAGCCTGCTGCTTGTTGGCTTTTTCTTGCTCCACGTTGTGTTTATTGAGATGTTGAGATGACAGGCTCCACCCACGTTCAAATGTCTTCACCTTAGCCTGCTGCTTGTTGGCTTTTTCTTGCTCCACGTTGTGTTTATTGAGATGTTGAGATGACAGGCTCCACCCACGTTCAAATGTCTTCACCTTAGCCTGCTGCTTGTTGGCTTTTTCTTGCTCCACGTTGTGTTTATTGAGATGTTGAGATGACAGGCTCCACCCACGTTCAAATGTCTTCACCTTAGCCTGCTGCGTGTTGGCTTTTTCTTCCTCCATCTCGTGTTTGTTGAGATTTTGAGATGACAGGCTCCACCCACGTTCAAATGTCTTAACCTTAGCCTGCTGCTTGTTGGCTTTTTATTCCTCCATCTCGTGTTTATTGAGATGTTGAGATGACAGGCTCTACTCACGTTCAATGTCTTCACCTTAGCTTGCTGCTTGTTGGCTTTTTCTTCCTCCATCTCGTGTTTATTGAGATCTTGAGATGACAGGCTCCACCCACGTTCAAATGTCTTCACCTTAGCCTGCTGCTTGTTGGCTTTTTCT